TCTTGCTATGCAGTTTGGGCTGGCCTTATGCTCACTTCTGTAGTCCCCAAAAGCCTCCACTTTCATAGCTGGTCTCAAACTCACAGAGACTCTCCTGTCTCAACCTCCAGAGGGCGCCACTACGCCTGGGAATCTGGGGCCAAGATTGCAAGGCTTACGGGCTGGAGATTGAACTCAGGTTCTTGTGTTTGCCAGGTAGGGGCTTATGTATCTGAGCTATCTCCCCGGGCCCTAGTATGACTATCTATCTATCTATCTATCTATCTATCTATCTATCTATCTATCTATATAAAAATATACAAATTTTTTCCCCTTTCTTCTTTTCTGTATTCCCATCCCAGTTTTTCTTTCCTTTTGAAGTTTCTTCCCACTCTACAATAACTATTATAGGGTTTGGCTCTTATTTACTCTATCAGTTTCTCACACTAGGGAGACAAGATGCATCTAGTTTATTTCACTTAGGAGTATGGTCTTCAGTTACATCCCTTTACCTACAAAACTTTCCAGTTTATCCTTATGGTTGAGTAGTACTCTTTTTAGGGGGTCATTTTGACACAGGGTCTCCCTATGCAGTTTAGGTGGGCCTTGCGCTCACTTTGTAGCTCAGGCTAGTCTTAAACTCGTGATGATCCTCCTGCCTCAGCTTCCTGAGTGCTGGGATTATAGGTGTGGGCTGGCTCCATCATATACAGACTACTTTTAAAAAATCCATTCCTGGGCTGGCCAAATAGCTATCAGATTGAAGTGCCTTTAAGCAGGGGCAGGTGGTTTGATCTCTGGGCCTGCTGTGCCGGCCCCACCCCCGGGATATGCTGAGATGGCAACTGAGACTGGGCCTGGTGGTGTGCGCCTGTAATCCCAGCTTTTGGGAGACTGTAAACAGGCAGATCACTATGAGTCCAATCTAGTAGTGAGACCCTAAACACCCTGTAGACCCTCCCCCCCCCGCAAAATAAAATAAAATAAAATAAAAATCCATTCCTCCATTGATGCACATTTGTGTTTTTTCCAAGATCCGGCTGTTACAAACTGTGAGATTATAAACATGAGTGCCTTATATATCACTGTGGTATGATGCTATTAATTCTTCTGAGAAGATATCCAGCCGGGGAGTAGCTGCGTGAAATGGCACCTCCAATTATAGTTTTTGGGGACTCTCCACACTGATTGCCACAGTGGCTGCACCAGACCACTCTCCCGTCAAAGGTGCAGCAGGGTTCCTTTTCTCCACTGCCCCACCAGCACTTGTTATTGGTTGACTTCTTAATAACAGCCACTCTTTCCAACAGCTGGAATCTCAGGTTATTTATTTATTTATTTATTTATTTATGTGCGGTACTGGGGATTGAACTCAGGACCCTGCGCTTGCCAGGCAAGTGCTTACTCTACTGAGCTATCTCCCCAGCCAGGGGAGATAGTTTTTAAAATTTGCATCTCTCAAACAACCAGTGAAGATGAACATTTTTTTTCATATATTTATTTGCAGTTTGTATTTCTCCATCTGAGAAGTATGTATTCATCTCAGATAGCCATTTTCAGATTGGGACTTTAAATTGGGAGGTCTAATTTTTTTTGAGTTCGTTTTTTAATAAAACAGGGAGCTGGGATGATCAGCACTGAATCGGCAAAGACCTTAAAACATCCATGGCATTTACTGGATGTATAATATATAGAAAGGGGTGACGAGGCCACATGTAGCTGCTGGGGATAAAGCACTGATGCAGGCAGGGCTTGTGGAGGAGGAACAATACATTCTTGCACCAAGAACAGAGACCAGTAATATGTTATTTTATTATTATTATTAATCTGTTTCAAACTTTATTCCCAGGCTTCTCCAGCTTAATTGGCTGCAAAGAAGGAACTGTATGTAAGCAAAAACTGAAACGAGCTACAGTGTCCAAGGGGGTTGGGCTTAAAAAAATTAGAGATCTAGATTTTATCAGAACCATAAAAAGCAATTTTAAAAAGCAGTCATAATATGAAATAGCAGCTCCAAGTAATTTCTTCCAAGTTTGATCTTTTTCAAAAGCTGACTTAGTTCAGTTTGCCTCATTCTTAGAAGCCTCATCAAAATTCTCCACAAGATCCGGAACCTCACCATCATCCTCCTCTCCAGTAGGAAGCAGTGCTTTTCCATCCGAAGACTCGGCAGAGTTGCAGCCGACCTCCTTAAGCTAGTCAGACTGTCTGCACCAAGCTGGTCCAAGACGCTGGGTAGCATTTCTGTCAGTTGTTTCGTCTCAGTGTGGCCTGTAAGGGTGAAAGTGTTTGCTGCCAGAGATGCCTGAACTTTTGGGTTGTTGAAGTGGATAACTATTCCCTGGTTTGTAAACATATTCACCTCTCCAATACCAGAGCTATTGTTTACCCCTAACTTCTTCAGTGAGAACTGGAATTTTTATCATCAGCTGTGGCTGTTCTATGAGCCACCTTCTTCTTTCTGCGAGCAGTTCCTTTCCCACCAATGCGCACTTGTGCCTGCAGTTTGGCGAGTTTTTCCTGGTTCATGATAGTTTCTTTCATCTTGTCGAAGCAGATATGGGACAGCACGGGGGACTAGGGCTGGCACTCGGGGGTCTCGGGCAGACCAGCTGAGATCAGGCGCACACATGCGGGGACCCAAGATGGCAGCTCCAGTAATATGTTCTTGATAGTAATCCTTTGTCTGAACAGTTGGCAAACATTTTATTCCCCACGTTGTGGGTTGTCTCTCCATTCTGTTGGTTTATCCTGATGTGCAAAGCTTTTTAATAAGCTCTCAGTTAATTCTTTCGTGATATTCTTTACAGTCTTATACTCATTTTTTTTTTGTTTGAGGCAGGGTCTGGCTATTCAGTTCAGGCTTGCCTTGTGCTCACTGTTGCCCAGGCTGGCCTGGAATTCATAGGGAGCCTCCCAAGTTCTGAGCTCACCCCTATGTCCTGCCATACCCGGCTCTCCTTACTAGTACCTCCTAGCACTCACTGGGACTGCTTGGATGCTCTCGTCCATCCTATGTCCTTCTGGGCTGGAAACCAAGTTTACTTTATTTTTCAGTTTTGGTAGCGAGTGTTTTGGGCAACAGGGCACTCTTACCTTGGTGTGTGAAACATGTGGACCTTTAACTTGAGGATTAGCATTCACACAATATTAAGAATTTCTTGGTCTGAAGGTCCGGGGAGATGGCTCAGTAAAATAACTGCTTGCCTGGCAAGCTCAAAGGCCTGAGTTCAGTCCTCAGTTCCGCAAAAAAACAAAAACAAAAACAAACAAAATAATAATAATAATTTTTTGGGCTCGTAATATAACTCAGTGGCACAGAGCCTGCCTGGCACATGTCAGGTCAAAAAGAAAATGAATTTCAAGAAACGTGTAATAAAAAAAAAAGAATCTGGGACCAGGGAGATGGCTCAGTAGAATAAGCACTTGCCTGGCAAGCGCAAGGATCCGAGTTCAATCCCCGGTTCTGCCAAAAGAAAGAAAGAATCGTGTAATGGGGCTGCGGGCAGTGGCTCAGGCCTGTAATCTCCGTTTCTGGGACCTGGAGTGGGCAGGAGGTTCAAGAGCTCATCCGAGCCTGAGCACGTTATAGGAGTCTCCAAACAAAAAGGGCTGAGGCGCCACTCAGTGATCCAGCTCTTGTCCGCACGCGGGCGGCTCTGGGTTCCATTTCCACAACGCAAAAACGGGAGAGACCAAAGACCCTGTTTACTTCCTCCACACCGTCTTTCCTCGCCTTCTTCCTCCTCTCTACCTCGCCAGCCCTCCTCGCTAGCGCGCCCCGCAACTAGCGCCCTGCCAGGGCCGCAGAGGCGGGGTCGCAGGAGTCCCCACGCGCTTCCCGACGCTCCCCGCGCCAGCACGCAGCTTCCGGTCAGCGGTCGCCATCTTGTGTCCTGGCGAGAGCGGGCGGCTGGAACCTGAGGAGCTGCTGCCAGTACTAAAGATGGTGGTTCCGGGTGGGCGTGAATAGTGACCCAGATCCCGCAGGCCCATGTCGGCTACCGAGGATCCCTGGCGGGAGGACTCAGCGAAGAGGGAGGAAGACGCGGAGGAAGAAGAGGACGATGATGATGATGAGGAGGAGGAGGAGGCAGTAAGCATCAAGTGGGCTGTGCTCGTGGCGCGCGCGATGGCTCTGCGGGCTGCGGGGCCCTGGGCGCCTCTACCAGGTCCAGGTCCTGGCGTCTCCGCCGTGGTAACCGTGGAGGAGGGCGGGAGGCGCCCTAGGTAGGGCCGCTTGCTTCTGGTTGAAAACATGGGCCGGCGGTGGGGTTTGGGGTTGTGCCGTCCACGTTGCCTGCTAACTTGGGAACCCTTTTCTTTCTCCAGGAGCAGTTTGTCCTGGTGGAGTTGTCAGGAATTATTGATTCAGATTTTCTCTCAAAATGTGAAAATAAATGCAAGATTTTGGTGAGTCCTGTGGAATTGGGGCGAGTAGGATTTCCTGGCAGGTAGGAAGGAATGGGGCGCTCCGCGTCGCAGAGCCGCGCGCAGCCCACCTGCAGCGCGGTGAGGCCGAGGAGACCGGCCCTGCGCGGTCAGAGGCGGGTGTCCCTCGGCCCGGGTCTGAAGGATGGGGGCACTTTGTCATGGGATAATGAGATGGACTGAAAAAAGTTTTAGAAAGTGAGATGGGAAAAAGAAAGTGAAGGGAGGACAGATTTTTCACATAGAAGTACACTTTGAGGGAGCAAAGGGAACATAGCTCTAAAGAAACATTTTAAAAGACGTTTTTCCTTGTTGTGCTCGCACTCTACCACTTAGCTACAGCCTCAGCCCGGCCTTATTTTATTTTATAAATATTTTAGCCAGATTCTGGTTAAGTTTTCCAGGATGGGCTCAAACTTGCAGTTGTCCTGTCTCAGCCTCCCAGAGTGCTGGGAGTGATTATAGGTGTGCATTTCCATGCCCAGCTTGCTTGCTTGCTTGTTTGCTTTTCTTCTTTCTTTTCTTTTCTCTTGTCTTCTTCTCTTTTCTTTTTTTTTTTTGAACCCTCTTCCTGTGTAGGCCAGTCTGGCCTCAAATATGCAAGCCTCCTCCCTTCACTTCCCTTGTGCCAGAATTACAGCTGTTACCCGTGTGCCCCACCATGCCAGGTTTGTTGATTGCCTCTTTTGTGGGGTGAAAACGGAGAATGGAGCCAGGGCCTTCACATGCTCAGCACAGCTCTATCACTGAGCAAACCTAGAATCATTATCGTTTTACCACGAAGCCCTTATTACTGTGCACAAATACCTTCCTCTCCTCCTCTAAGCTGGAGCAGAATATTGGTTGAAACTGACCTTGGGCTGGGAGTAATGATGTATCCCTGTAATCCTAGTACTTGGGGCTGAGGCAAGAGGGACTTTGAGACCAGCCAGTGCCCCATAGCGAGAAAGAAAAATGACCTGTAAAGTAAGTAGCCTTTGGGTTGTAGCTGTGAGGATCAAAGCAGTGGTAATTTTGTACTTGCTAGAGCAAAATCCTTAGCCTAACCATGTATGGTGGCACTTGCCTGCAAACTGAGCACTTAGGAGGCTGAGGCAGGTGGAGGCCCTTTTGGGAAACAGGCTCAAATCCCCTCTTCCCCAAAACAGATGCTGTAGACAGGTTTCCCCAAGTTGGACAGGACTTTCCATGGAGGCTTTTTTTTATAACTTTATGCACCTGTGTTCTGTTGTAGGGGATTGACACTGCCAGGCCCATTATGCAGTTGGACAGCTACGTCTTTGCTGGGGAGTATGAAGGTAGGAGGGTGTCAGCTAGGTGTTGCCTTTGATACGCCTTTCAGAGAAAGAAGCTCTGCTGTTTCTCAACAAGTTGCCTTTAAATTTTTCTACAGATACTGTTGGAACCTGTGTTATATTCGAAGAAAACGTTGAACATGGTAAATAACTATTATAGTAGCTCTTTTTTTGTTTTTGTTTTTGAGGCATGGTCTCACATTATGAGTATCATGTGTATACATTATGTACTGCATATACTAATAAATTAAAAAAGATAAAGCCCCCAAAACTTGCTTCCTTCCTATGTCTTCAGAGGGGATCAATTTATTGAATTTGACATTTATCTTCCCTATACCTAATTTTTCTATTCTGTTTATCTTTCCTATACCCAGCTTCAAGGGTTTTTTTTTGTATTTTAATAAGGGTCTACAGGGTCTCACTACGTAGATCGGACTCATAGTGATCTGCCTGTGTTCAGCCTCCCGAAAGCTGGGATTACAGGTGTGTGACACCATGCCCAGTCTCAGTTGCATCTCAACACCCCCCGGGGGTGGGACCAGCACAGCACACCTGCAATCAAACACTCAAGCCCCAGCCACTGTGTCTGCCTAAGCAGGTGCTTTAATCCACTGAACTATTTGGCTGGCCCTCAAATTTTATTTTTGTGTGTGTTTTGCTGCACTAAGGTTGAACCCAGCACCTTGTTTGTGTTAGACAAGCTACACTGACTTATCCCACAGGCTTAAGTTTGAAAATACATACAACAGTATTATTTATTGTTGTAGACTTATACTTACATAGTATAAAATTAGTTACAGGAGCTGGGCATAGTGGCACATGCCTGTAATCCCTGCACTTAGGAGGCTGAGGTAGGAGGATCATCATGAGTTCCAGGCCAGTCTGAACTACATAAACAGACCCTGTCTCAAACAAAAAAAGAAAAACCAAACTTGATACAGATTATAACATTCTGTATACATCATTTTGAATCTTCTTTTACTGTCCCTATTGCTTCCTATTCCATTTTGTAAATGTGTTGCAATTTGTTCTCTAGATCACGGTTGCTATGAGTATAAACTTACAATTACAATTTTTTGCTGTGTTTGAAACAGAGTTTCACTATGCAGTTCAAGCTGGTCTTGAACTCACTGTGTACCCCAGGTTGGCTTGAAACCTGAGATAATCCTACCTCAGCCTCCCTAGTTTTGGGATTATAGGCATGGGCCACCAGAGCCTGCCTGATAACTACACTTTCAAGAGCAGCACAGCTGTTATCCCATGTGAAATTCACCTGTAATTATTAAGTTATTATTGGTATGTTTTCTATGTTGTTCTAAGTGCTATATATATCAACCTTTATTCCTCACCACAACCTGATAAACTTGACACTAGTATGATTTTCATTTTATAATTGAATAATCTGAAACTCAGACATGTTAAGTAACATGTCCAGGCTCATGCAGGAAGTAGCAGAGCCAGGATTTATGTTGAAGCGGTCTGGCTTCAGGGCCCACATTCTTGTGTGTGTTCTGGGGATCGAACCAAGGACTCACACCTGCTAAGCACACTCTGTAGCACTGAGCTATGGCTCATAGCTTTAGTTATGCTTATTGCCTCACTGCAGAGATGCTGTGTACATATTCTTGTATGTCTTCTTGTGTATGTATGTAAAAATAACTATAGTGTTTACATTGAGAAAGGCATTGATGGGGCTTGGGGTGTGGTTTAGTGGTAAAGATAATGCTTAGTATGTGTGAGGCCCTGGGTTCAAGCCCCAGTCCCAAAAGAAATACATTGATGAGTGTGTTATCTTTATTTTTAGGTTAAGTCCTGTGACATTACCAGATTGGCTGAATATCAATTCATGTGGTTCACGAGACAGACATAGCCAATTTGCTGTCAGTTTACACTCACAGAGCAGAGTGTGGAGGTGTTCAGGACTTCCTCCCTCTTGTCTAGGCCCAGTTCCCTAACACTACAGTTCCAGGCAGCAGGTTGGCCAGTTTTTCCAGCCAGCTTTTATGATTGGAGATATTTCTACTCTAATCTCCCTCAGGCTAAAGCTCAGAGTCTGACTTTGGTCCTTTTCTTTTTCCCCAGGACTGAACCTGTGCTCTTCACACAGCAGTATCTGTAGCTCTTTTTATTCTGAGACAAGTTCTCATTAAGTTGCTGAGTTGGCCAGTCTGGGCTTGAATTTAGGATCTTCTGGCCTTAGCCTCCCAGAGTGCTGGGGATTGTAGGCATGCGGTACTGTGCCCTGGTTTGGGCTTTCATTCTGAGTGGTAGTATTATGCATAACATCCTGAAGGGCACATTTCTGTTTTTGTCTTTTTAAAAAAATTTATTTTTTGTATTTTAGGGAAGGGTCTACAGGGTGTTCAGGGTTTCACTACTAGATCAGACTTATAGTGATCCTCCTGTTTACAGCCTCCCAAGAGCTGAGATTACAGGCGCGTGCCACCATGCCCAGTCTCAAGCCCAGGGGCAGGGCTGGCATGGCAGGCCCAGGGATTGAGCCCCCTGCTCTTGCGCCTGCTTGCAGGCACTTTAATCCACTGAGCTATTTGGCTGGCCCTTAAGCTGATAATTTAGCTGAGCTCCTTGAACTGGAATTATTAAAGTCCACATCATTATTTTATTTAACAGCATCACACAATACAATAATTGAGTTGTTTTGTGTTTTGGTAGATACAGAAGGCAACAGTAAAACAGTGCTGAAATATAAATGCCACACAATGAAGAAACTCAGCATGACCAGAACTCTCTTGACAGAGAAGAAGGAAGGAGAAGAAAGCACAGGTCAGTTTCCTTAACTCTTAACTTAGGGGATGTCCTTTTGGTTCTGACAGTGACTCATTTATTCAGGGAATGCCCTGTGGTTTGCAGCAAGAACTATGTGTAAAATGTTTAGTACTTTCACATTGAACACTTGCTAGCATGCATGAGGGTCTGGATTCATCCCTAACTCTGCAAAATAAATAAAACTTTGTGTCAGTAGTATTATCCTCTTTTTGAGGAAATGGCAACAAAACCTAAAAGGTTTTAGACTTCCATTTGGGTAGGGGGTACAGTTCAGTGGTAAAGCATTTGCCCAGTATCCAAGAGGCCCTGGTTTTGATTCCCAGCATCACCAACTAAAGACTTCAAAATTAAACACGCCACATGGAAGGAACCAAGCAGATTAAAAATTCAGCTTGCTCTGATGTGGCTAAGGCATACAATAAACATCTGTCTGCTCTGCACTGGGAAACACTCATAGAGAATTTGTTAAGTAAGACAAGATTTCCAAGCCCTAGGGAATTCAGCAGCATCTGTCTCTCCTGATGTTTCATTAAAAGCTTTAGTTGGAAATGGAGTACATGATGCTACCATTTCCGAATTACCAAGGTGTAACCCCAGGGAGTCACGCAGAAACTTTTGGTAGCTGTAGCAGCCTTCCCCAAAACACTTAGAGCAGCTAACTTTTTTTTTTTTTTTTTTTTTTTTTGGTAAAGAGTCTTATTACGCAGCTTGGATTTTTTTTTTTTTTAATTTAATTTAATTTAATTTTTTGGTGGAACCGGGGATTGAACTCAGGTCCTTGCACTTGCCAGGGAAGCACTTATTCCACTGAGCCATCTCCCCAGCCCTGCAGCTTGGATTTATAGTGATCTTTCTGTTTCCAGCCATCTCAGCACTGGGATTACAGGCATGCACCACCATGCCTGGTCTTGGTGGCCTGCTTAGTGCACCTGGGGGACGGGGGCGAGCATGGCATGTGGTGTCAGGGATTCAACCCTGGTCCTTGCACTTGCCTAAGCAGGTGCTTAGTCCACTAAGCTATCTCGCCTGCCCAAGCACCTGTTTTTGTATGTGGAGGAAACTCTCAGAACAGATCTGAGTCCTGAGTCTAATCTTTAGCATCCTTTTTGTTTTCTCTAGTTGTCCCCATCATGGTCTAGAGACTTAAGGTAGTATATCTTACTTCACAGCAAAACATGGCTGTGGAACTGAGCAGATAATCACAGGATGCTTTCAACATTCATTGCTCACAAGAATACTTGAGATTGGGCATGACGGCACACGCCTGTAATCCCAGCACTTGGAAAGCCCAGACAGTAGGATTGATGCAAGTTCGAGGCCAACCCTTGATACACAGTGATTTCAAGGCCAGCCTGAATGGCATAGCAAGACCCTGTCTCAAAACAATAACAAAAAGAATAACTAATATTTAAAACTTTAGTAAATAAGACTCTGTTCATAGTTTAATTACTGTTATTATTATTATTATTTTTTTTTTTTGGTGGATCTGGGGATTGAACTCAGGCCCTTGTGCTTGTCAGGGAAGTACTTATTCTACTGAGCCATCTCCCTACCCTAATTACTGTATTTTAGGCAAGGAATAAACACTGAAAAGGTACATTTATTTTCAAAAATTGTTGTGTCACATATGCACATAACACTTTTGTTCTGTGTGTGTATGTATATGTGTTCCTTTTCTTTTTTTTTTTCTTTTTTTTTTTTTTTTTGAGGCAGGATCTCACTATGTGGCTCCGGCTAGCCTGAGCTCACTTTGTGGCCCAGGCTGGTCTCAAACTCAGAAATCTTCCTGCCCAGCCTCCCAAGAGCCCCACCATGCCCTGCTTACTTCTATTCTTTGGATATCCCGAAATTGTCTCTCTTGTGTGTGGCGCTGAGATAAAACCTGGAGTCTCCCACATGCTAGGCAAGTACTACTGAGCTACAAGCACAGGCCTTTGTTTTTTGACTTTTGAGACAGGATCTTGCAAAGTGACTCATGTTGTCCTTGAACTTATCAGCCTCCAGAAGTGAGCTGAAATTAGTGTATGCACCATTGTGCCTGCCTAAAAGTATTCATTTTTAAAAGGCATCTCATAAAAATAACAGAAAGCCAGAGGTCTTAGGTTCTGTGAACGTGGAAGTCAAATGCGAATGATGAGGTTAGCTATCATTTAGACACTCTGATTAAAGGAACTGTGGGATTTTCTCTGTTATTTATTCTCATTATACAACACAGAGAAACCAGAATCTCACACAGTTCCCGTGAATTAGGGATTTAGGCTCAGGGTCTTTTCATGAGGCTACAGTCAATGTGTTGTTTACACTGCAGTCATTTCAGGCTGGACTGATGCTGCAAGCTTCAATTTTTGGTGGCACAGTCTCATGGCTGGTCAGACTGTTACTGCTTTTGGCAGGTGGCTTTGGTTCCCTGTTGTGTGGACTTCCCCACAAGACTGAGTAAGGGTTCTGCTGTGGTGGCAGCTCACTTCTCTTAGATCTAATAATTTATGAAAAGAAGGTAGAAATCTCCATGTCTTTTGTGAACCACCCTTAGAATTTGCACACTGTCATTTCTACGGTAATCTGTCCTGTGTGGGTGGGAGCTCCACCAGGGCATCATACAGGAAGGTGAAGATCTCTGGGGATTGTAGGAGGCTGGTTGCCCACCTTGGCAGTGTGCTGGAGGCAGAACAAAAGACAAGCAGTGTGGCTGGTACTTCCTTGGAACTTGTACTCTAAATCACATTTTGGCTGAGGATGTAGCTCAGTGGTATAACAGGTGCTCATCATGCACCAAGTCCTGGGTTCAATCCCCATCACCAAACAAAAAAAAGGAAGTAAGGAAATATATTACATAATATTGAGATGGACATTAGAAATGCACAAATGTGACACAACATATAATTTTGTCTGTTTAAGGACCTGTTAGTGCAAGGTACTATGCCAAGTAACAGAATAAAGGACTATGCCCAGATTTTGAACTTACATGATTGGGAATGATTTTATGCAGAAAGAAAACGGAAGGGGACTCATTAGGCAAAGCTAAATTGGAAGGAAAAGGTCTAATGCATTTTTGAGACTTTATAGGAGTAGTAAAAAGATAGGCTCAGCACAAAAGCTTCAACCCTGGTTATCATAGGAAATGGAAACAGACAGTAGACAGGGTGCGGAGGTTGGTCGAGGCATTTTTGAGACACCTAATAGAATTCAGTGGGTGCCTATTAATTTACATAATGAACCTAAGCTTCTTATCCATTGGAAGTACTTGGCTAAAAAGATACGAAGAAATTTGGCATCACTGGAGAATTCCTTGAGTATGAGATATTAAGAGGTTAGGGATTGGAGCAAGAAACAAGTTTTGTGTTTTGTTTTGTTTTGTTTTGTTTTGTTTTGTTTTGTTTTGTTTTGTTTTGACGGGGGGAACTCACTATGTAGCCCAAACTGGCCTCCAACTAGTGGCGATCCTCCTGTCTCAGCCTCCTGAGTGCTGAGAAAACAGGTGTGTACCACTATACACAGCTGAGAGCTGCTTTACTTCACAGTTGCATATTCCAGCTAAAAATGACGGGGATGTAGCTAGTGGTAGAGCACGTGTTTAGCAGGTGTGAGGCCCTGGGTTCAATCCCCAGAACTCCTTTCCTCACCAAAATAAAAAAGACAGTGTTTAGAGTCTTAACTTGGAAGGTAGCAGTAGTGTCATCATTGTATGATGCAAACTGAATAGGTAAAGAGAAAACCATAGGAAATTGACAAAGTTTTCCTTAAGGAACTAGATGGCAGTGAGAACTCAAATTATTTCTCAGAGTTGAGTTTTTTTTTTTTTTTTTTTTTGGTACTGGGAATGGAACTCAGGACCTTGTGCTTGCCAGGCAGATGCTATGGCACTGAGCTATATGCCCAGCCCAAGCATTGAGAGCTTCACTCTGGGAAAAGGGTGGGGAGCAGGGCTCCAAGTGAGAGTAGTGGTGACTGTGAAGATGCACCCCCTCTCCATCTCCATGGAACCTGAAAATGACATGTGATTTTTTTTATCAGTACTTACAATTGGTTTATGTTGGAGTTTTACTTTGACATAAACTCACAGGATGAAAACTTAAGGTACATTTAAATTTCTTTTTCATGTCTCTTTCTCGGTTTGTCTCTTGTCCTGTCTAAATTAGGAGGAGTAGAGTGGCTGCAGATGAAAGATAATGATTTCTCCTACAGAACCAACATGATTTGTAACTTTCTACATGAAAATGAAAATGAAGTTGGAGCTTCAGCCTCGAAAAAACGTTTGAAGGTGGAAGAGCAAGAGACTAACGTGAAAGACAGATCAAGCCTCATCTGTGAACAGGAGGAAGCACTGGAAACAGCAGCTTCTGATCCTCTAGTTAGCATCCCTTCTTCTGAGATGGAAGGTGCTGTTCTTATGGAAACTCAGTTCTCCACCTTAAAAATCACCCCTAGATGAAATGATCCTCATAACTTAGGTTTGTTTTTGTTACTGGGAATTAAACTGAGGGCCCTGCACTTGCCAGGTAGGCACTGTGCCACTGAGCTACATTCCCGGCCCCAAAATGTTCCTCATAACTAGTCATGAACTTGTCAAAAAGTATTTTCACATAAAATTATTGGCTGCATAGCTGTCAGTTCACTGTTTTTGTTGGCTATACATAAAATTTCTAGTAAATAGCATAATGTAATATACCAAAATCATTCAGGACCTGACAAGAGTTAAATTTTTTTGTTTGTATTTTTCATTTCAGGTCTCACTCTGTAGTCCACGCTGGGCTTGAACCTGCTGTGTTGTCCAGGCTGGTCTTGACTTCATAATGTGCTTGCCTCAATCTCCTGAGTATGATTAAAATTTTAAAACAGGAATAGTGGCCCACACCTGTAATCCCAGCTATAATCTCACCTAGTGAGATGCTGTCTCCAAAAAAAGGGGTGGGGGATGGGGTGGCTCAGAGGTACTACACTGCTAAGTTTGCTTCCTGGGATCACAAAACAATAAAGCTCATACCACTTTATAGATTCTTGGTCTGATGAGTACTGTAAATGGAACTTTTGTGTAAGGTGAGTGCATTTTTCCATTGCTATTAACCACCAGTTTAGTAAAGGCCAGATTATTGTCTTACAGCTTTGTGTGTCATAAGTTGAACTCAGTCTCATCTAGGTGAAAGTCTAAGTATTGGTAGCACTGTGTTCTTTTCTGGGAGCTGAGGGTGGGGGAAGGGATGGATAAATCCATTTCCTTTCTCAGTCAGTGGTTGGCAGGATTCAGGTACTTTGCTGCTGAAGACCGAGGGCCCATTTCCTCAGTGTTTGTCAGCTAAGGGCTATTTCCAGAATCTAGAAGCTGCTCACATTTCTTGGCCGGTGGCCTCTTCTCTAAAACTGCTAGTAGAGATTGAGTCCTTCCTCATTTTCAGTCTATCCTGTTATTTCTTTTTTCTTTTTTTTTTAAATATTTATTTATGTTTATTTATTACATTTATTTATTGTGTGTGTGGCCAGCTCAGCCCACCAGGGGGCGGGTCTGGTTGGCATGTGGTGCTGGGGATCGAACCGCGGTCCCTGTGCTTTGCCAAGCTTGTTTCAAGTAGGTGCTTTAGACCACTGAGCCATCTCTCCAGCCCCATATCCTGTTATTTCTTACTCACCTTTTTTCCCCTTTTTTTTTGGTGATACTGGGGTTTGAACCCAGAACCTTCTACATGTGCAGCCCATTTTTTCTAAGATAGGGCCTCACTAAGTTGCCTAGGGTGATCTCAAGCTTGTGTCTTGAGATCACACCAGCCTCCTGAGTAGCTGTGATTACAAGTAACTTTGCCTTCCACTTTTGCTTTTAAAGATCCATTTGTGTGCACTGCACCTATCTGTGTAAGGTTCTTATTTAAGATGTTTTTTTCTTATTTAAGATGTTGCTCTAAGTGCCCTTTGCTATGCAACTTACATATAAGCATAATCCTTAGAGGCCATTCTCCAGTCTACTATAGAAAATTTTTTATTTAGAAACAGAAATATTCTGAGGTGCTTAAAGATAGAGGTATAATTCCCAATAGTCCAGCTTTAATTTCACTCCTTTCCAATTGAGAAAAGTTATTGGAATTCAACTATAATAATGATTATGCCAAAAGCCTAAGCAGAGATCTGGGATTACCAGTTGTTTCTGAAGAACAAAAACCCTGAGGCAGCCAGAACTTTGGCAATTATTGATTGAGGAGAGGATTTTATGCTAAGAAGGATCTTGCCCAGGAGTGTATTAATCTCAGTGGTTATAGGTTTAGTTTTAGTAGATGGGAAAGGATGGCTCACCACTAAAGAGATAATGGGAAATCTCAAAAGGGTGATACAGATAATCCCAAATCTCCATTTGTCACTTGGGGAAGTACGCAAATTGAGCCATTGTGAAACTGGTTCCAACACACTTTATGATGTACCAACCTGGGTTGGTATTCCCTGCTTTTAACCCCTCTTCAGAAAAGGTTACCAACCTAGAACTGGTCTCAGGTCCCTGGCCTTCAAGAACACTGTCATATTTTCTGGTTTGTGCATCTTACTATGTTTGTTTTAAAATGAGCCATTTTAATTTTATGTGGTGGCAACCAAGGAAATCTTCCCCCAAAGCAACATAAGGAAAAGAAAAGTAAAGAAGAAAATAGAGATTAGTAAAATAGAGAATAGAAAAGCAATAGAAAAAAATCAACCAAAACAAAAATTGGTACTTGGTGAAGATGAACAAAATTGACGAACTTTATTTAGACTAACCAAGGGAAAAGACATGATTAAATTAACAGAGAGAGAGAGAGAGAGAGAGAGAGAGAGAGAGAGAGAATGAAAAGAGGGCTGGGCACGGTGGCACATGCCTGTAATCCCAGCACATGGGAGGCTGAGGCAGGAAGTTCACTGGGAGTTTGAGACCAGCCTGAGCTATACAGTTCAAGGCCAGTTTGGCTACATTTTGAGACCTTAAACAAAAACAAAAAGTTAAAAAGGCTGTAGCTGCAGCAGTGTTAGAGGTTGGCTCAGCATGGGCAAAGGCCTAGGTTTGATATCCAGTACCTCCCCTGGGGGGAAAAAAAAACCAAACAAAACAAGAAACAAAAGAAACCAAAACAAATAACAAAATAAAACTTGGCAGCAAACAGTATTACTGGAAAATATAGAAGGCCTAAATAAATAGATCACCTATGGTCAAGACTGGAAGACTGAATAAGATGCTGGTATTTCCCATGTTACAATCACTGTCAAAACCCCAGCTAACTCTTTTGCTGAATTTTTTTTTTTTTTTTTAATTTTTTGGTCTTTTTTGAGACAGGGTCTCCCTATGTAGTTCAGGCTGGCCTTGAGCTCACTTTGTAACCCAGGCTGGTCTTGAACTCCCAGTGCTGCTCCTGTCTCTGCCTCTGGAGTGCTGGGATTGCCGGTGTGTGTGTACCACCATACCTGTCACAGAAGTTAATCTTATAATCGATATAGGAATTTAATCTTGAAAAAGAACAAAATTGGAAGATTCACACTTCTTGGTTTAAATTTTTTTTTTTTTTTTTTTAAGCGGTACTGGGAATTGAATTCAGGACCCTGCACTTGCCAGGCAAGCGCTTATTCTGCTGAGCTATCTCCCCAGGCCCTTTGTTTCAAAATTTAATATATTACTTCTGGGCTTGGTGGCACACACCTGTAATACCAGCAGTGAGGATGCTAAGGCAGGATGGTTGCCAGAAGTTCAAGGCAAACAAAAAACTACTACCATCAAGAACAAAGACAGAATGAAGTACTGATCCCTGCTACAAAATATATAAACCTTAAACACTAAGTTAGATAAAAGAAGTCAGTACAAAAGGGCTGGCGAGACAGTTCAGTGGAATAAGCTCCTGCTTTGGCAAGCTCCTGCTTTGGCAAGCGCAGGGACCGCAGGTTTGATCCCAGCCCTGGTACCACATGCTACGCCGCGCTTGAGCACGCCAATGGGACCGGGCATAGTGGCGCATGCCTGTAATCCCAGCGCTGGGGAGGCTGAGAACAGGATCACTATGAGTCGGAGCTGCGTAGTGAGACCCTGTACCAAACACAGGAAGGGAAAAAAAAAGTCAGCATAAAGCGGCAACTTGTCTTTTTTTTTTTTTTTTTTTTGGTGGGTGTGAAACCGGGGATTGAACTCAGGCCCAGGCAAGAGCTTATTCTAATGAGCTAGCTCCCCAGTCCCAAGGGTGCAACTTGTGAGTCTATTTACAATACAAATGTTCAGTATTGGCAAATCTATGGCATGTAAGTAGATAAATGGTTGCCCCGAGATTGGTGGAAGGAAAAATGCGAATAACGCAAAATATCCTGAAATTAGTGGCGGTAGTTCTATTTTGCACATATTGTGTACCCAAACCAAGGGAATTGTGATATTAGAATTATATAGCAATTAGAAAATAGAAAATAATCACAATGTGCAGTATTATTTTCAGTATTTATGTGCTAGAGAACTGGTAGTAATAAACTTCCCCTACCGCATCATTTAATGATGCCCGTTGCACACGAGCATTTTTAGTAACCACATGAGCACCTGCCGTACTTTCAACCTTTCTAGCATTTTGGGGCATTCCTGAAGAACACCTAGTTCCTGAACACCTGACTCCAGATATATGCACAAACCTGTACATCGGCAGCAGAAGGGTAATCTAAACTGTTACATCGCATTTTAATTTCCGGCAAAGAGCACAACGTAGACTCGTAACCCGGGAAACAGAGCGTGGGCTCACCCAACATGGCCGCCGGCGACCAGCGACCAGGCCGTCCCAGGAAATTGCGTCACTCTCAATTTCCGGTTCCGGCTGCTCCGGCGCAGGCACTTAGCTCACGCATCCGCGCAGTGCACGTGTATTGGCTGGGCTGAGCTGTGGTAGCGATGGACGCCTTGGACCGAGTTGTGTAAGTGCGCTGGGCCCTTGAGGAGAGGGTCTCCTGTGGCAAGAAAGATATTGTCTCTTTCCCCGGTTTCTGCTTTCCTTCTTGACGCTCTTTGCGTGGCGGGTGAAGGCCCTTTGATTCACAAAGTTTAGCTAGTGCCGCCTACAGAGTTGGGGAGCCGGGAAGCCCGCAGTGTAGCAGCTTGGGAGAGGAGATAGAAGCTTTGGCCGCCTTTATCCTAGCCATTAAAAACCAGCTGAAGTCGGGCGTGGAGGCGCGAGCCCAGCACTTGGAAGGCTGAGGCAGGAGTGTCGCCGCGAACTCGTGCCCAGCGTGGGCAGCATAGTCTAAGGCCAGCCTGGACTGCGTAGCAGCACCTAGTGTTAACGAACAATAAAGCCAGCCCAAACGTGTCTGGAGAAAAGGCAGTGATAGATAATAGGAAACCGGGGCATAGATCTTTAGCAAATAGAAAGGTGACAGGGATGGAGGGAAGGGGCGTAAAAAGAATTAAGATGTGCCCTGTCAGTGTACCAGCTTTCCACGATGCATGTACTCATTGTGTACTGCATGGAAGTACTATTAGATAAAGCACAGTCCAGTCCAGGGGCCGGAAGTAGATGTGCGGTAGAGCGCTGACCTAGTTTACAGGAGGCCCTGGGTTCAATCCGTGTGCGAGTGTAAACACACTGGCAAAACCATGGGGTTTCTGAGGTGGGGAGGGGAGCGGAAGAGGGAAGGCTCTGGAATCAGATCTGGGCGACATTCGGGAGCATCCACTTAAAGCCTTGTGACTTGAGGCCATTAACCTTTTTTTGTCCCCCTGCCCCTCCCGCCCTGGGGATTCAATCCAGAGTGTGTGCATCTGGACTTTTTTTTTTTTTTTTTTGAGACAGGGCCGGGCAGGGGAGATAGCTCAGTGTAATAAGCGCCAGCCTGGCAAGCTCAAGGTCCTGAGTTCGATCCTTGTTAAAAAGAAAAGATAAACCCTGAGGCAGTGTCTATATTTCATGTTGGCCTTGAACTCAGCAGCAGTCCTCCCAACTAAGCCTCCTCCTGAGTGCTGGGATTACAGGCGTGTGCCACTGTGCCCATCCTCATTAAACCTTTCTAAATCTCAGTTCACTCCATAAAGTAGCAGTCATAGTAGTCCAGTTACATAGAGATGTATGTAAAGCCTTTGAGACAGCAGGCAGAAAATGTTTGTAGGGTTTTTGTAGTCTGTCCAACTTGGTACATTTCCCTGGGTTATCCTTGATTGATGTTTTAAATTCGTTCAGAAAATACTTATTGGAGCTTCTAAATATTCCTTCTGTTTGCTGTGGCCTCTCATGATTTTACCTAGTCTATGTCATCTGAACGGTTTCTTTTAAGCTGTTGATTTGGGGGTTTGCACACCTGTACCGAAGTGTTGAGACAATAATGATGAGTAAAACTAGTTTACATTCTGATAGACAAGCAGCTAGGAGAATGAGTAAAACACCGTTTACATTTGTTTTGCTGTTTAGTGAGAAGTAACAAAACACAATATAGATTATATACCCTTAATGACCCTAAAGACACAATGCACATTTCTTTCCCTCTTTCTTTCTTTCTTTCTTTCTTTCTTTCTTTCTTTCTTTCTTTCTTTCTTTCTTTTTTCCTGTTGTTGGGGATTAAACCCAGGGAGGGCTGAATTAAATCACATACCTGGCCTTTTGCATTTTTAACATTTGAAGAGAAGGTCTAATTGAATGACTCAGAGAGCCTTGATCTCAGGGATCCTCCTGCCTGAGCCTCCATACCTGGCTGCAGATTGCTGATATTTTTTGATTTGATAAAATGAGTGTCTTTATTAGCTAGTAAGTGACATAACAAGTATATAACATTTTTATCTGAGGGAGAATTTTTACTTCTATGTGGGAGCTGGACAAGGTGACACATGCCTGTCACCCCAGCACTTTGGGAGGCTGAGCAGGAGGATTCCAAGTTGGAGCCATATATAAAACCCTAGCAAGACCCTATCTCAAAATAAAAACTAAAAGCTTTGGGGGTATGGCTCACTGCAGAGGCCTTGGATTCAATCATGAGGTCCCCCCCAAAAAAACCCATAATCAAAACACAAAAGATTTTTAAAACTTCTCCACAAGAAGCTAAAGTATATACATGATATATCTTGTTTATGCTGTCATACCCCCATTCCCACCACTAGGTTAAATCCAGAACCTGTCAAGCTATATCTCCATTCCTTCTTAGTTGTTTTTTTGTTTTTAAAGGGAAATAAACAATAAAAATACAGAATTTCAAAACAAGGTGATAAGAAACTATCAATGGTTTATTATATCATACATTGTTATATTCAGAGTAGTTGTTCAGATTATAAGATGAGATGCAGAATTGATCTTTCTAGATTTTGGGACATGGCTTTTAGTTCCCAAGGCTGGTCTTGAAGTCCTCTGATTCATCAGCCTCCGAGAGTGCTGGTATTACAGCTGTGCACCATTATGCCCTCTCTCTTTTTTGTTTGTATTTTTCTTTAATTTAATGTATCTGTAGCACTGTAAGAGAGGCTCATGGTTTTTTAAGAGAAGATTCTTTCAGTAGATGGCAGAGAAGTGTTTGAAAAGTTTTCTGAAAAGACATGTATAGAAGCATGACATTTCTGCTGCATCATAAAGTCAGAATAATGAATTTAGTTTTCCTTCCTAGTTTATAGGCTGCAGTAATTGGTCTTAAGATAAATAAATATATATATAAAATAAAAAAATATATATATGTACACATCTTAAGGTACATATATATATATATGTTTTGGTATTGGAGATCAAACTCAGGACCTTGCACTTGCCAGGCAGGTGCTTATGCCACTGAACTATCACCTCGGCCCTAAGATAAGTTTTTAAATATATCTCATTTTGAAGATTGGCTTCTTTACTAGCTGTGTGACCTCAGGCAAATTCTTTATCTTGTCTTAGTTGCTTCATTTGTAAACAAGGATAATAGCAATCATAAGGTCTTGAGTAATCCTCACTATGTAGAATTACTCTATAATATCAATAGTTATTGCCTTTCAAGAGCAGTAGGCTACTTACTTTTGGTACCAGAAATCAAAAAATCAGGGTCTTGTGTTGTACTTGCTAAGCGTGTGCTGTGCTGCTGAGCCATATCCCCAGGTCTTGAGAGCAGCCATGTAGACTTCCTTGGCAAGGGTGTTAAGAATGAGACTCCATGTTTCCTGGCAGTCACTATTGTTTTGACCCTGGAAGAAAGATTGTTATAATCAGCTTCCCTGCCTTTAGTGAATGCCCACAGATTGATATGCAGTTCTTCGTATTATGGTGTTTATCTGCCTTCAAGTTTGAAGAAAAATATAACGGAGTAAAAAGTAACATCATTTATTTGAGTTGTTTATTTTTTAATTGAAAATTTAGAAAAAAGTAATAAAAGCTGGCAAGGTAGCTTAGCGGACTAAGCACCTGCTTTGGCAAGCACAGGGACTGGGGTTCTATCCCCTGGCCTGGCAGAGTACAGCCATGGTGACGCGCACCTGTAATCCCAGCACCTAAGAGGCTGAGGCAAAATTGCCTCAAGTTCAAGGCCAGCCTGGCTTGCGTAGTGAAATCCTCTCCCAAGAAGATTGGGGGGGGGGGGGACAGACTTATATTAATAAGGAAGATCAAAATGAAACTTTTTATAAAAAAACAAAACCTAATAAAACACCAGTAATAGAATATCTTTCACTGCTGTGTTTAAAATGGGAGATTTTGGGGAGGCTGGGAAGATGGCTTAGTGGAATAAGCGCTTCCCTGGCAAGTGCAAGGGCCTGAGTTCAATCCCTGGCTCCACATAAATAAATAAATAAATAAATAAATAAATAAATAAATAAATAAATAAATAAAATGGGAGATTTTGTTGAATGATGGAATCCTAGTTGATAAGTATGTGAGTAGAATATTGATTGATTGATCGATTGATTTTTTACAAGAATTCGTTCACTGTTCAATTCTGGATCTTCATAAAGAATTTTTTCTATGGGAATATGTACATGTTTAAATTGTTATGAATTTTGCTTTTCTGAACAGAAAGCCCAAAACAAAAAGAGCCAAGAGATTCCTTGAGAAGAGGGAACCAAAACTTAGTGAAAATATTAAAAATGCCATGCTGATTAAAGGGGGAAATGCAAATGCAACAGTGACCCAAGTCCTGAAAGACGTGGTATGTACATATATTACTGTTCCAAAGATGTTGACATCATGTTAGAAATTTTTAGCATACCAAGTTGAGCTGCTGGAGAAGCATACAAGTAAGTTTGTTTTAATATTTGCTAGCTTTAGAAAAGAGCTGAAATTGGAGGCAGTGCCTACTGGTTGCAGACTTTGGAGAAAAGTAAAGTCATTGCTGTCAGCCTAGTAAAGAGCATTGAAGTTTGGTGGTGCTAAAAAAGTGAGAGTTGATTAGTGCATTGATAGTGAGGAGATAGGTTTTGTGTATTAGTGAGAATGACAGTGTCCCAGGATTCTAATTTATGTGGCAGTGGGCATAATGCCAGTTAGAAAATGTGTCAGGCTGTGTAGTTTGGAGGGAAAGGTGCTAATGTTCAGTTTGGGACATCTAATTTAAAAAGGGAAGATACATTTTTTTTTCCTACCTCCATAGTGTGGTGTCTTGGCCCCAGTGTCTAGACACAGCTGCTCAGTAAGTGCTTAATCAGCATGGGTAGGTATCTCATAGCTAGCTTTGAATATTTAGGCCTTAAATATAGCTCATGGTTTTTATTGAGTTAGGTCAATTAAGTATTTGACTATGTTATATTTTTGTTTTGATTTGCTTTTTTTGAGACAGAATCTCACTATATAGTCCAGGCCAGCCTTGAACTCATGATCCTCCTGTCTCAGCTGCCTAGGGACTGGGATTACAGGTGTGTACCACCTTTCCTGGCCTTCAGTGTTTTAAAATTGGACTAAACTTAGGCTTTTTTTTTTTTTTTTCTTTTTTGAGGCAGGATCTCATGGGGTTCAGACTGGCCTTCGACTTGCTTATGTAGCCCAGACAAGCTTTGAACTCAGAGCATTCCTGCCTCAGCCTCCCAGATGTTGGGATTGTAGGCGTGTGCTACACCCAGCTTCTTTATGCTTGTTAAACACTCATTTCTTCCCATTCAAGCCAGCTACCTCCTAGGTATTCTTCTAAAAGAACTGAAATCATCATACCACAGTGATATATGTGTACCCATGTTTATAGTAATGGAATTTGACATAGCTAAATCTTGTAAACAACCCAAATGCCCATCAACTGAGGAATGGATAAAAAAGATATGGTATTTTTACACAAAGGAGTATTATTCAGCTATAATAAAAGGAAACTCGAGGCTTTTGTGCCAACATCATATTGTCTCCTTAGTGTGAGAACCTGAAAAAGAAATGAAAATCTAAAGGGTACAACACGCCAGCCCCACCCCTAGGTGTGCTGAGCCAGTGTGGTGGTTCATGCTTGTAATCCCAGCACTAGAAAGGCTGAAAACTGGATCTCTGTGAGTCTGAGCTGTGTAGTGAGACCCTGTACCAAATACATTATAAATAAATAAATAAACAAATAAGTGGTACAACAGATAATGTGAAAGGTAGAGAAATTGTTCAATGAGAAGGAAAAACGAATGAGGAAAAGAACAAATGAAAGAAGGAAAAAATATATATTTGGGTATATACGCAGAATAGTTCAGATAATGTATTGTCAATTTCTGCTCGTCTTAAAAGGAGCAGTTAATGCTTAAATGCTTAAATGTTTAAAAAAATGCTCATATTTTTTTCTCTTGAATTTCTTGTAACTTTGTTACTGTTTTGTTTTTTCTTTAAATGAATCTTACATGTTTATATATGGTAATTCAACAACTGATTTGAATATACCAACATGTAATACAGCAACCATTGTTGAATTTTTATTACTTTGTTTAGTGAAATCTTGTATTGTTGCTAATGCTGGGGTTTTTTTTTTTTCTATTTTGTATTTTTAAAAAATATAAATAAATAAACACTTATTTCAGGTATCTTAATGCCTAATATATGTTCATCTTTTTTTATTGTTGTTTATTCTTTTTTGAAATGGTTGTTTAAATGTAATTGCATTTATAGAACAATGTTCCTTTCCTTCCCAGAATCTTTCAACACAGTGGCCCTTCGTTTTTAAGTTAGCTCAAAGAACAGTACAGAGTTTATGATTGTTACAGTGGTTATTGAAAGTGATGACTCTGAATTGTCAGGAAAAAGAAGTTGCATTCATTACCTTGAGACAGGGAGTGCTGGCTAAGAATCACCATCAGAAGTTTCAGCCAGGACTGGGGAGATGGCTCAGTGGAATATGCGCTTCCCTGGCAAGTGCAAGGGCCTGAGTTCAATCCCTGGTTCCGCCAAAAAAAAAAAGAAAAAAAAAAGTTTCAGCCAAAAAAGGCGATGTCACTGGTTGGTTTCTTTTATTTACTACCTCTGATGATCATTTCACCTTTTTCCCTCATTGACCTGTTTCTCCAACACAAGCCATTGTTTATGTCTTTGCTTTTCCGTTTGTGCTAGTCCCTGGCTATGTAGATGATACAGTATTTGTGCGTAAGTGGAAAGAAAATTTTAAAGAACTAGAGGATAACAGAAAAAAAATTATAAAGGTCTGTGTTTAAACTCCTGATAGTATTCTCATTGTCATCACTGACTGTTCTGAGTCCTGTTATCCTCAGTTAGTTTAATTCTGTCAGCTCTGATAGTTTTGTTTTGACTTTTGCCGTTTTTCTACTCCCACTTTACATGAAGAGAATGAACTGAGTAGTGGTTAAAAAATGGAAGGAATCATTTGAATTGGGTAGAATATTACAAAGGGTATGAAAAGCTTGAACTAAGGGAAGTCTAGCCTGAGTTAAATATTAAACATAAGTTACATGTTATACTGGTTGAGCAAAGGGAGCCAAGCAGAAGAAATCAGAACAGGGTTTGGGTTCAGGCCAGAGTGGTCTTGTAGAACAAATGTTACAATGCTTTATTTTTATCTCTGCTTTTCAGAATGTTTTGTTTGAAAGCTATAAATTATGTTTTACAGTATGCACTGAAAAAACCATATGGCGTTCTGTATAAAAAGTAAGTCATAGTTTTTAAAAATTTTATTAACATAAATTACTGTATTTCACTATAAAAGTTACCATTATGTGGAAGATTTAGAAGAAAAAATTAGATATAATGTACATGTTTGGAACAATTATAGATTTACAGAACATTTTGAGAATAATAAAGAGTTCCAAAAAAACGAGTTCTTATATATCCTTCACCTGGCTTCCCCTAATGTTCTGTTTTAGTTTGGTTTTTTGAGACTCAGTCTTGCTGTGTAGTCCAGGCTGGCCTTAGACTTAGTTGGCTGACAGCAGTTTTACCACTATTTTTTTTTTTGAATGTATTTAGCATAGGGCCTACAGGGTCTCACTACACAGAACAGACTTGTAGTGATCCTCCTGTTTTCAGCCTCCCGAGCGCTGGGATTGCAGGCACATGCTACCACATCCAGTCTCAATTTAAGTCTTAGTGCCCACCTTGGGGCCAGGGCTGGGATGGCACGCAGGGGATTGAACCTCAGTCCCTGTGTCTGCCTAAGCAGGTGCTTTAATCTGCTGACCTATCTGATCAGCCAGCCCCCTTCCCCTTTTCTCTTCCAGGATCACACATTGCATTCTTCTTTCCCCCTCCTTTCATCTCCTCCCTTTCTTGTCTTTTCCCTTTTCCCTTTCCTCCTCTTCCCCCTCTTCCTGATCTCCTTTGAAGTACTGGGAACTAAGCTCAAGGCCTTCGTACTAAGCTACAGCCCTAGTCCTTTATTATTATTTGGTACTGGGAATCAAACTCAGAATGTAGTGATTGCCAGGCAGGCACTGTACTGCTGATCCGTATCCCCTGCTGAGGCCTTTATTAATTTGAGATGGAATCTATAGTCACTGATTTGTCAGCTGGGCTAGAATTTGCAATCCTATCTCTGTCTCCTTGAGTGCTGGGATTATGGATCGTGCTCTGTACCTAGCTCCACATGTTTTGTGATCATGTCTCCTTAACTCTTAATTTGTGACAGTTCCTCAGTCTTGTCTTCTATAGCCTTGACACATTTGATGAAAACTAATCAATTATTTTATATGTTAGCTATCTGGGTTTGTTTTAAGTGCTTTCACGAGAAGGTGAAGTTACATACATGTTTTTTTTTAATGTCACAAAAATACTAGTGTATCGTGATGGTTTCCGTGTTTTATACTAGTGGTGGTGTTGGTCAGAGTGGGGTCTTGTTGCCAGGCGTGGTAGCACATAGCACATTCCCCTAGTCTCACTCCACCCCAGGCAAGAGGATTGCCTTGAGTTCAAAGCCAGTTTAAACTGCATAGCAAGACTTTATCTCCACAAACAAAAAATAACACCCCTTCCCCCCAAAAAAGTTGTTTCTGTTGGGTTTCTAGACCGTAAAGTTAGTATTTTTCCTTCTGTAGTTAATAAATACTTGGAAGAAGAGCTTTGAGATTATACAGACACTATGCAAATGCACTGACCTCTGCCCACTGCTCAGTGGTCTATGGCTCCTTGGATATCAAAGTCTAGATGCGCACAACCCTCATACAGAATGGTGTATTTGCTACTGACCTGTGTGCATCCTCCCATACACTTGTTTATTGACTCAAGGTCTCACTATATACCCTACGCTGGCCTCAAATTTGTAGTCCTCCTGCCTTCACCTCTTCCTTGCTGGTATTAAAATTAAAGACATATACCATGAGAGCCTACAGTTCCCATATACTTTACATCTTGGTTATTTATACAACCTGATACAATCTAGATGCTGTGTTCATGATTGTTATGTGCTTGCCAAATACTTTGTATCTGCAGTTGGTTCTATCTGTTGATGGTGGATCCACGGATAACAGCCATCTTAGAATTTTGAAGCAAAGGCTGTTACTAGTGTACTTCTAGTGACAGTTCAGTGTGGACTCTGTATATTCCCATGGGATATATCCAATGCTGTATGTGTTGCTGAAAGTTTTCTACTATGTAGTAATACAGTCTATTCTCATATAGCAGATAGAGTGATACTTTAAAAGAACATTTAGGGCAGGACGTGTAGCTTAGTGGTAGACTGCTTGCTTAACATGCACAAGGCCCTGACTTCAATCCCCAGTACCAAAAAAATTAAAGTTTAGATCTGATGATATCACTGTCCTGTTGAAATGCTCCTGTATTCCTCATTACTCTTCTAAGCTGCACTTCTTACCTTGACCAATGAAGCTCTGTGTAATCTGAGATGTGTCTGCATCTAGAATGTATCCCACCATTATTTTTTGGTCACTTATCTCAGTGACATTTGCTTCTTTGTGTTTCTTGAGGGGTTTTTCGTGTCTATCTCAGAATCTTCGTTCATTCTTTTTTTTTTTGTATTTTAGGAAGGGTCTAAGGGTGTTCAGGGTCTCTCACTACTAGATCGGACTCGTAGTGATCCACCTGATTACATCTTCCTAAGAGCTGGGATTTAAAAAAAAAGAAAAAAAACTGGGATTACAAGTGCGCGCCACCACGCCCAGTCTTAATTGCTGTCTTGGCACCCCGTGGGCAGGGCTGGCATGGCAGGCCCCCATCAAACCCCAGCCCCTTGTGCCTGCTTGCAGGTACTTTAATCTACTGAGTTATTTGGCCGACCCTCTTTGTTCATTTTTTTCCCTCTGAGCATAATCTTAACCTCAGAACTTTGCAGTGGCTAACCCATTAGTCAAGTCTCTTCACACTAGCACAATACTGTATTTTGTTTGTTCTTTGTCATTGCTCTTGCTTTATTTAATTTTTTTGCTATAGGGTCTTGCTATTTATTTAGTTCAGACAATCTTGAATTCACTGTGCAGTTCCTGGTAGCAGTCTTCCTGCCTCGGCCTCCCAAATGCTGGATTAAAGTGTGCACTAGTATGCCCAGCTGACTGTTACTGCTTTTTAAATTTTTTAGTTTTCCAGTACAATAAAAGCTCCGTGAACCAATGTGGTGTTGCACATAGAAATCTCAGCACTTGGAAGGCTGAGGTAGAAAGATTGCAAGTAAAATGCTAACCTGAGCTACATAGTTCCAGCCTGGCCTGGACTGCATAGAGACCATGAGCTAAAAAAAAGAAGAAAAAATAATCTTCATGAAAGTGAGCTTGTTATGTTATTTGACATAGCATGACAGTATCCTTTGCTTCTAGAACTATGCCTGGCATACGGTAGTTATTAAAAGTATTTGAATAATTATCTTTCCAGGCACCATGCCCAGTTTTTGCATTTTTTAAAATCATTCAAGTATAAAATTATCTTTGACTTACAGAAATATTAATTGGATTTACTTAGCAAGATTATTAAGCTTGATGTCAAATCCTTTTAATGTTCTTAGGAAAAATATTACAAGACCATTTGAAGATCAGACATCACTGGTAAGTATAAGAATCTTATTAAGAGCACGTGTAATGTTTTGTGAATTTATGATTCTTTTTTAATTTGACGTCCTATATGAGTAAATTTTGATAGAAAAGAAGAGAAATAGGACCTTTGTTCCCTTCAAAAATTAACTATAGATAAAGCTTTGTAGGAGATGGTAAATGATGGGATGAACTTTGAGGATGTACTTCTGTCCATTTCTTTTTTAAGAAAAAGATTGTTTGACTTTTTTTTTTTGAGAGTGTTCCTAGTTCAGGTTGGTCTCCAATTTAAGATTCTCGTGCCCCAGTTGCCAGAGTGCTAGGATTACTACAGTGCCATGCCCAGCTTTCTAAGGAAATATTAAGAAAGGAAGTGTTTTAAAATATTTAAATTTAGGGGCTGGAGAGATGGCTCAGTGGTCTAAAGCACCTACTTGAAACAAGCTTGGCAAAGCACAGGGACCGCGGTTCGATCCCCCAGCACCACATGCCAGCCAGCCCCGCCCCCTGGTGGGCTGAGCTGGCCACACACACACAATAAATAAATGTAATAAATAAAAATAAATAAATAATTTTAAAAAAGCAACTAATTTAAAAAAAAAATAAAATATTTAAATTTAGCTTGGGGGCTGGCAAGCACCTGCCTGGCAAGCATAAGGTCCTGAATTTGATCCCTGATACGAAAAAAACAAACAAAAAATGAGCCTGGTGTGGAGGCATACACCTGTAATCTCAGGAGGCTGAGGAATGAGGATTGCAATTTTGAGCTCAGACTGAACAATCTAGCTAGACTGTCTCAAAATACAAAAATTGGTTTAAAAAGGGGGTTGGGGAGCTAGAGGTGTAGCCCGGGGCCAAGGCTGTGGGTTGAATTCCTGCCACCATAAAACAACAACAAAAACAATGTAAGTTGATTTAACAAAAATAAGGGTATGATCAAGTTCTCTATAGGAACTCATTTTTCTTTCTGATTTGTGAATTTAAATGATATTTGAATGCAGCTTCAATAATTCAAAGTTTTAAGTTCCTGATATGGAATCTAACTGCAGTGAAAATTAAAAATATACTGAAAAAATAAATTTTATTCGATCTATCTTTTTTTTTTTTTTTTTTTTGGAACCAGGAATTGAACTCAGGCCCTTGTGCTTGCCAAGCAACTTAATATTCCACTGAGCTATTTCCCTGGCCCTGATCTGTCCCTTTTCAAGGCGGCCAGGGACAGGTTTTTTTTTAAAAGCATGTTTTGAGGCCAGCCAGATAGCTCAGCAGACTAAAGTGCCTGATTAGGCAGAGAGCAGTGGCTGGGGATTTGTGGAGTGCCATGTTGGCCCCGCCCCTGGGGCACCCTGAGAGGGTGATTGAGACCAGGCTTCGTGGCGCCTGCCTGTAATCCCAGCACTTGGGAGACTGAAAACAGGATCACTACGAGTCTGATCTGTGTACTGAGACCCTATACTAAATACAAAAAAAAGCATGTTTTAAGTGCTTCATTTTGGTCCATGTTTTTTCCAACCATTTGGTGAAAAAATCAGAGAAGTTAAAATACAGATTTATGTGCCTTCTGAGTCTTTGTGTTTTCAGGACTGAGTCTCAATCTGTAGCCCAGACTGTCCTTGAACTTCTGATTCTTCTGCCTCAGCAAAAGTGGCTAAAAATATGCTGTCTAAATCCTATTTGTGTGAGGCTCCTGAAATAAGAATTTTGATAAAGTTTTTTTTTTTTTCTTTTTAAGAGGGGAAATGGGAAATAGTAATAGCTCCTGAGAAACAAGATGGCCCAAATGGGTTGCCCTTAAGGGGTTATTTTGGATTTTTTGGGGTATTTTTTTGAGACAGAGTCTTGCTGTGCAGTTCAGGCTGGCCTTGAGCTCACTTTGTAGCCCAGGCTGGTCTCAAACTTGCAATGATCCTCCTGCCTCAGCTTCCCGAGTGCTGGGAATATAGGTGTACATCACCATGCCCAGCTTCAAAGCCAATGTTCTGAGAGCCAAAGAGGGTTGATGTTACTTGGGATGGATGTTATAGGTGTATCAGCCCTGTCAAGTGTCCTTCGTGGGTGTACAGCAGTCATCACGGGGTGGCATGGAGGTTGCAGGTTTGTAATGACAAGTAGTGCTATGCATTGTAAATTCATGAATCCAGTTACAAGTATCCAAGAACACTGCATTGGTAAATTTAAGTAGGTCCACTAGATAGTCTAGATTGTGCTATTGATAGTAGTAGTCATGTTTTGTACAGCTGAAAAACACTTCATATAATATTCTAAAATTCTACCTGCGTAGGCAGACGCAGGGGTTTCAGTCCCCAGGCCTGCTGTGCTGGCCCCACCCCTAGGGTGTGCTAAGACAGTGATTGAGACTGGGTGTGGTAGTGCATGCCTGTAATCCCAGCACTTGGGAGCCTGTAAACAGGAGGATCACTGTGAGTCCAGTTTACGCAGTGATACCCTGTAGACTCTATATACTCTGCCCTAAACACGAAAAACAAATTCTATATAATAACAAAATACATTTATTTCAGTTTACTTACTAACCTAGTCTTTAAATGTAATATTTTTCTCTTACGTAGTCTAAATCAGAAAATTTGAAGTAAAAAGCTAAAAGTATTTTCTTCTGTCTACTTTATTGTGTCCATTAATTTCCATTGGGGGAAAAAAAACTGATATTGTCTAAAAGGAGGTGAGATTCTTAAGGCTTTTGTTATTATTTCATTTTATAGGAATTCTTTTCAAAGAAATCAGATTGTTCTTTATTCATGTTTGGATCACATAATAAGAAGCGTCCCAATAACCTAGTAATTGGTAAGTATCATTTCCATTTATGTTTTTATTTAGAGTTAATTTTGTGACTCAGATAAACTATTGGCATTAAGGATTTAGAAGCAACCATGAAGCTCTAAAGTAGGTTTAGTTTTGTTTTTTTACTTTGTGACACTGAATGACATGATTTTCTGTGCTGGAGCATAGCTCAGAGTGCTTGCTTAGCATGTGGGAGGCCCTGGTACAGTCCCCAACATGGGGAGAAAAAAAAATTGTCTGCTAGTCTCCAGGTAAAGAATAGAGCATATTAGGGCTGGCCAGATAGCTCAGTGGACTAAAGCTCCTACTTAGGCAGATGCACGGATCAGGATTCAATACCTGCATGCCATGCTGGCTCTACCCCAGGGCACACTGAGGCTGAGATTGAGACTGGGTGTGTTGGTGCATGCCTATAATCTCAGCACTTGGGAAGCTGAAAACAGGATCACTACCAGTCCAATCTGCATAGTAAGACCCTGTAGATCTTGTACTAAATACATTAAAAAAGAATAGAACATATTAATAAATAGTGTCCTATTAGTGGAGAGAGTTAATATGAGTAAGAAAGAATATGGTGGAATCCCTGGGTTATTCACGTGCCTTAGGATACCACTGTTCTGACAGTTGAAGCAAGCTCTGGTTAAACCAAGTGTGGGCCTGAGCTCCAGTGTCCCTGTGTATCTGGCTGGTGATGTGGTATGGTTACCTTATGAATTGAGTGTCACCAAGCTCTCATAGATCATTGACCCACTGGATTTAGAGGCAACAGTGCATTCAGTTGCAGATATTTTTCTGACATGAAATAGAATTAGAGGAAAACATTAAATTAGCCCATATACCACTTGTGTAAGTATATTTTTATTTATTGATTGGTATTGGGAATCAAACTTAGGACCTCGGTCTTGCCAGGCAGGTGCTGCAACACTGAACTGTATGCCTAATCTAGTGTATAAATACATTCTGTTTTGTAAATAATAATATTATCTTGGTACTGGGAACTGAACTCATGGCCTCATGCTTGCCAGGCAGGCATCTTGCCACTGAGTTATATCTCCGGCCCTTATATAAATACATTTTAAAAGGAACCCTTGCTTGTGTAATGTGAGGTTTGATCTGGCATTTGCCCGGCTTAGGGGAGCCCTTTACCTTTTTGGGCCTGGTCTCCTCCTGCCTTCCCCTGCCTCGCTTCTTTCTCTAACTCTCTTGCTGTGTGTTCAGGTTGGCCTTGAACTGTGTATAGCCCAGGCTGGCTTTGAACTCACGGTGCTCCTTCTGCTTCAACCTCCCAGATGCAGGGATGATGGGCGTGTGCCATCGCTCCTGGTTTCCCTGCGTGTGTGCATGCACTCATACACATGCTCAGGTTTGAACCTAGAGCCTCAACCATGCTAAGCACACTTTATACTGCTAGCTACTTTGCCAGCTTCCACTTGTTTGGTAAAATGAAGGAGCTGGGCTAAATGCTGTCTAAGATTCATCCATAGCTAACGTCCTAAAAACTTAGGGTTGAAATTTAAGAAAGAGGGGCACGAGCCAGGCGTAGCGATACATACTGAGGCAGAGGGGCTGGCCTGAATAATAGGGTCAAAAGGAGACCCTGTCTCAAACTAATAATATGAAAGAGGGAAGGATATAGCTTAGTGCTTACTGGTATCCCATTCTGTTCTAGAACTTGTAAAGATCCTCCTTCCTAACCCTTAAAGATATGTTACAATGACATATGCTTACCCATACTATACAACAGTACAATATGTGTTGGCTAAATTTTGTGACATATATATCCATCAACTGATACATGGCTAAAGAAAATGTGGGCAGTGGAATATTACTGTGCCATAAAGAAGGATAGATATGAATCATTTTGGAAAATAGATCTACTTTGAGATCATACCGTTAAGTAAATCAGACATAGAAGCATAAGTATTGCATTGTTTTTCTTATGTGGGAAACCCAACATATAAATGAATGTAAAAGACAATAGAAAATGATGAGATAGATCTTTGGAATATGAAAAGGACTGAGAAACAGGAAAATGAAATTTAAAAAACAGCAGGACTGTGAATTGCTGTGGACGTGTCCAAGAAATCCAGGGGTGAGAAAAGACTTAAGAAATGTTAAGTACATGTACCAGCATCCCTTGAGGAATGGAATCATCATGTGCTACAAACGTACCAGTAAAAATAAAGATACATTCTTAAAGATGGGTTTTTTTCTTTTAGGTCGTATGTATGACTACCACGTACTGGATATGATTGAGTTAGGTATTGAGAAATTTGTGTCTCTAAAAGATATAAAGGTAAGAAACTGATTGTAAAGACAGAATTATTTTGTAATTGTTTTTGCCAATTATATCTTGTGATGAAGGGTATCGATAGATTTTGTGTGTGTGTGGTACTGGCGATTAAACCCCTCAGGTGTATTAGATAAGTGCTCTTTGACTTGAGCTACACCCTCAGCCTTTTGGTTTTTTTTTTTTGGTTTTATTTTAAGACTATGTTGCCTAAGCTGACCTATACAGTAAGTCTCTGACTTACAGACATTTTGCTTGCTAGCTTTCACAGATTTGAATGGACCTCACATTTGGTTTTTTTATGCTTTACATTGTGTATTTGTGTCAAAGGTATGTAAGACTCAATTTGTTGATTTCATAAATGAGTCCAACATTTGAGTCAAGGTCCCAGGACTTAATATTCTGGGACCCCTCCTTCCTCAGGCTTCTAAGTGGCTGGGATTATTAGCATAGGCCACCACTTGTAGCTATGGATAAATTTGTAGATGAAGAACTTTTTTGGGGGCCGGGGAGATGGCTCAGTAGAATAAGCGCTTGCCTTGGCTAGCTCAAGGGCCTGAGTTCAATCCCTGGTTCCGCAAAAAAAAAAAAAACTGTAAAAAAAAATGGGGCTGGGGAGATGGCTCAGTGGAATAAGCGCTTCCCTGGTAAGTGTAGGGGCCTGAGTTCAATCCCCAGTTCCGCCAAAAAAAAAAAAAAAAAAATCTGGCATTTTCTAACACAGGAACATGCTTTTACTTCACCTTTACTTTTTAGAAAGGGATAGATAGCATATTACGTAGCTCTTATGGCAATTAGACTTCAGATTGTTACCATTAATAATTATCTAGGTTCATAGTTTAAGTGCTTCCCTCTCCCTCCGGATGATCACAGCATCTATTTGATGGAACTTCACAAATACCAGAGAGGGCAGTTTGGTGGCTCATGGCTGTAATACACCCAGCATTCTGGAAGGCTAAGGGAGGATAATCACAGGTTGGAGCCCAGCCTGGGCAACAGTGATTTAGATCCTGTCTTAAAATGAAAACCAAAAGGCTACATTGCTCTATGCAAAGTCCTGAGTTCTAGCCACACAGGCCATCCCTCTCTCCAAATCAGTAAAATGTTCTACTTGAGCCATGAAAGCTCTTTCTGATGTGTAGTATTATGGCTGCTAGACACCAAATTGCCAGTTTAACCCCCTCATGGGCTTGGATCTTTCTATTTCCTCTGAGTGGGACTGTAGAATGTAGTAAGTTTGTCAGATCACATCTCTATGTTTAAGAGAAACATTGTTTTAGAGCAGCTAATAAAAATTAGAAAACATTACTATAAATAAGCGTTCATTGCCTTCAAGTATGTGGGGTTGAACCTTGTAGTTCAGTGAGTAGTGTTTGCCTGGCAAGAGGAGACCCTGAGTGCAGTTTCTCCTGTCATGGGGAAGTAAAGCCTATAAACTGTAGATTTTGATAATTATGATCTCCCCCCTTTATAGAACAGTAAATGTCCTGAGGGAACAAAACCCATGTTAATATTTGCTGGTGATGATTTTGATGTGACAGAAGACTACAGAAGGCTGAAAAGCCTTCTTATTGGTAAGTGTCATAGTATCCTTGTCAGCAGGGTAGCTTGGGTTGGCCACTCATGTGCCCCTTTACCCTTTCACTCTGGGAGTACAAGTTCTTTTTTTTATTTATTTTTATTTTATTTTTTCGGTACCAGGGATTGAACTCAGGACCTTGCGCTTGCCAGGCAGGTGCTTATTCTACTGAGCTATCTCCCCAGCCCAAGTTCTTTTTTTTTTTTTAATTTGTATTTGTTTATTTAGTGTGTGTGTGTGTGTGTGTGTGTGTGTGTGTGTGGCCAGCTCAGCCCACAAGGGGGCGGGGCTGGCTGGCATGTGGTGCTGGGGGATTGAACCGTGGTCCCTGTGCTTTGCTTAGCTTAGCTTGTTCTAAGTAGGTGCTTTAGACCACTGAGCCATCTCGCCAGCCCTCAAGTTCTTTTTTTTTTAAAAAGTCTTTCTTTCTAAAAAAAAAAGTCTTTCTTTTTTTTTCTCTCTCTGTATTTCAGGGAAGGATCTACAGGGTGTTCAGGGTAGTGATTCTCCTATTTACAACCTCCCAAGTGCTGGGATTACAGGCATGTCCCACCAGGCCTTGTCTCCTGGAGGCGGGGCCAGCATGGCAGGCCTGGGGATAGAACCCCAGACCCCTGCGCAGGTGCTTTAATCCACTGAGCTATTTGGCCAGCCCTCTTTTTTCTATTTTTCTTTATCATTAATCGTAGGAGCAACAAAGAAAGTACTTAACTGTTAGAGTTAAAGGAATTGCTGTACCCAGTAGCTAACTATTTTGGTGCCATAATAACTAAAGTATTCTGATAATACAGCGTTTTATTGCACTTTTTAAATACTTTTTTGCATTCATTTCCTGTCATTAGTGACATTAACTTTAGAAAATGGAAAAGTTAAAATTTTAATTTTTTGTACATTATCCATTTTGAACTCAAAAGACCTTAGTGTGATAGGCCTTTTATAATGTAACTGCCTTCTTGATTGCCTTCATCACCATTAAAATGGCTTATATTATGCACATTCCTATTGTCTTACAGTCCTTTTTTCAGTGTATATTAATTTTACAAAAGACTGTTATAATGGCATTTGCATGCAGGCATATAACATTTTGATAGTATCCATTTCCTTCCATTACTCCTGCCCCTTCTTCTTCCCTTTCTCTTGTATAATACTAGTCTCTTTTCTTTTTGCATATCTTATGGTTCCTGTGTGCATACGTGCATGTGCATGGTGTTACGGGTTGAACTGAAGGCCTGGGTCATGAATGCTAGGCAAGTGCTGTGCCACTGAGCCACCTTCCCAGCTGCTGGTGTCTTATTTGCTCAGTTTCTACTATTCTTTGAGTTTTATTTATTTATTTTTTATTTTTATTTTTTGTATTTTAGTGAAGGGTCTACAGGGTGTTCAGGGTCTCACTACTAGATTGGACTTGGGATTACAGTCGTGCGTCACCACACCTAGTCTTAGTTGCTGTCTAAGCACCCCCTGGGGGTGGGCCGGCACCAGCAGGGCACAGGGATCATCAAAACCCTGGCTCCTGCTGAACTATTTGGCTGGCCCTTTGAGTTTTATTTTTTAAATTTTTTTAAATAGAGGAAGTCCTCTTTATTTGTTTTCAGATCAGGTACAAAGAAAATATATGATTAAGAAAACATAATATTTTTTTTCCATAATTTTATTGAGAAACAAATAGCAATGAGACAGTTTCAAACCAAATTGGTAGGACAGATTCAGTAATTAACACATTGCATACATTCTTCCTAGTGGTTAATTGCTGTACAAGATGTGGACATGTTATCCTATTTACAAACACCATTAGAACAAATCCCTCTAGTCATTAAGAGAATGTACCTATATATCTATCCTAACCACTTTGAATACACAGATACAAAATGGACATTCATCTGTATCCCCTTTTTTTGTTAAGTTTCGTTATATGAATATTATAGGTGTGTTAACTCAGCAAACTATTCTAAAAGAGTCCAGTAGTCCATAATAGTATTGGGTCTTCCCCTTCACTAGCAATGTCAGAAATTGTTGACCTGAGTTCCCTACAGCTCAACATAACAGCATGGCTTTACTTCTTATACTTCGTTTTTGTACTTTTCTGCTGGATGGTTAAGACAAAGGTAAAGCAAGACCTACGCAACAAGAGTTGTAGCTTTTGGGTCTGATAAGGTCAGTGAAATCCCCTCAGGATTTATCCCGAGATCCTGTACCATAGTTTGTAGAACCTTTGTCAGTGTCAGCCATGTGGATAAGTCATGGCCATTGCTTGGCCATTCTGCTTCTGTGAAAAACCTGAGAGAATGTTTTCTCTCCATGTGACTCTCCTTAGGCACACTCTACATCATCGATCACCCTCCACTTTGGGCCCATAATCTCCTTGATCAGAAAATTTGGGACACTACTGAGTTACGTGACGTTACAATACAAGTTCTCATATGTCCTGAGTCTTAATTGACCTTGGAAGGCTAGGGCCAAAATGTTGGCTTTCCTTGCGGCCCTCCTTTTTCTCTAATTTTGGTCTGCAGACTTAGGTTGTTAACCCTCCAGAAGACAAGCTTTTTGTTATTACCATACAACCTAGACTGTTAAGCTTAACCTCACTATCTGTCTGAATATCAAACATCTTAGGCATAACATGGAACAGGTATTTTTCATCGAGTATTGATATGTTGAACTTTAAGTCCCTACAGAATATGATGAAAAAACATTTTAAGTTTACACATAAGTCCAAAAATCTAACCATATACAAACTTGAAGCAGGCCAGTCCCACAACATTTCTTTTTCTGTCTCTTGCCTTCATTCACCACCCCCTTCTTTTTGAATAGTCATCTACTGAGAGATAGCACGGCAGCAACTGGCATGTCATGAGAAGCAGCTCATATTCAGGAGACCAGAATGACAGGCACTCCAAGCATGAAACTACTATTACAGATTACCATCTGCAGTGCAGTAGCTTAGTTTACAGGTATCAGTATATATAGTTAGTTAGGGTGAAAATCTTTCCAATTAACTGCTAGATTGAAAAATCTGAAGATTCTCAGGATCATTGCCTTGCCCATCTTTTACATATAACTATGGCTTGTCACTGTCATGTTTCCTAGCTCTTCTCCTTTCCCTCTCTTAATTAGTTAGTCCTCAAGTTCCTACTTTCCTTTTACTTGTATTATACCTTTCTATTTGTATTTCTTCTTTTGAGTTCTTATACTAGGGAAACTACAATATTTACAAATGTGTGTCTGGTTTATTTCACTTATGAGTATATCTTCAAGTTGCATCCACTTCAATATAAAGGCTTCGAGTTTATCATTCTTTATCACTGAGTAATACTCCATTGTGTTCAAATTGCATGGGAAACAGTTGAAAGAAAACATAATCTTAATAGAGAAAGAAAACATAATCTTAGTACAAGAGAGTTTTAAGAACTATAACATGTATCTGTAATAAATTATCTGGAGAATTTTCTTTGCTCTTCAGTTCCATATGAAAGACATGCTTAATAAATTTGTACCTATGTGTAAGTCAAACTCTGAAATACTGAGAAAATTAAGTCTCTACTTAGTAGAAATAAACATCTGCATAATTCTAAGCATGGGTTTTATTTTTTTTATTTATTTATTTTTAAAACATACCTTTTTTTTAACATTTATTTAGTGTGTGTGTGTGTGTGTGTGTGTGTGTGTGTGTGTGGCCAGCTCAGCCCACCAGGGGGCGCGGCTGGCTGGCATGTGGTGCTGGGGGATCGAACCGCGGTCCCTGGGCTTTTCCAAGCTTGTTCCAAATAGGTGCTTTAGACCACTGAGCCATCTCTCCAGCCCCTAAGCATGGGTTTTAGATTAAGCTTCTTTTCCAGGAAAGCCTCAGTGATCTCCCTTTTTTTCCTCTCTCTTCATTATCATTGCCCTTGGTGCCAAGCATTTGCTGGGTACTTTCTGCTGAGCACTTCATTCTAACGAGCACCTGCCAGATCATTTTATAGATGACTTGCTGTCTTCTGGCAGGTGTGGGGAGTTGAATCCCATGCTTTGTACTTGCTAAGCAAGTATTCTGCTATAAGCTATGCTGCCAGCCCCCACTGATATTTTCTGTGAATTAAATCTTTACATGAAGAGTAGGGACCAATATAAAGAATCAAGAATATTTTTCAGGGGCTGGAGAGATGGCTCAGTGGTCTAAGGCACCTACTTAGAACAAGTTTAGCAAAGCACAGGGACCACGGTTCAATCCCCCAGCACCACATGCCAGCCAGCCCCACCCCCTGGTGGGCTGACCTGGCCACACACACACACACA